CCTCCAGTAAGAGGGTGAACTGGCTGGCCCAGTAGTCATCGCCGTAGGAGTCCAGCACCCTCATGAGGAACCTCCGCTCCTTCTGGAGTCGCCGTGTTATCCTCTATATCTGATGGAGCCTGTTCCGGACCCGCTCGATCTCCCTGCAGCGCCGACCCAGCACCTGGTACTTCCTGCGATTGAGTTCCCCTTGGCACCGTGGCCGCTAGCCTTGGGCTGCCTCCTCCTCTTCGTCTCGCTCCTGGAGGCTGGAGCTGCCCAGACCTGCAGACATGAACTCCACTTCAGTCTCAAGCTCACTCTCCAGGATGTGACCACCGAACAGCGGAGGCAGCGCCAGCTCCAAGCAGGGAGGTGCTGAGAACTCCTCAAAGCCCACACCTGCCATGGACCCCTCTCTCTGCTCCAGCTCCATTTCTCCCTGGCTCGGGGCAGAACTTCCAACTTGCAAGCCTCTTAAAGTGCAATATGACTCACCGGACCGGCACACAGGCCCCAGCCGCTAAGCCTCCTGGGAGTTGTAGTTCTCTATTTCCCACTCACTTTCGTTGCCCCACCCCCACCCTGAGTCCCCGCCAAAAGGCCCTGCTTGCTGGTCTAAGGCCGCTGCCCAGGTGTCTGAGTCACCTCCATCTTTATCCTGTCCCGACACCGCACAGTCTGACCATGGAGACTTTTCGCTTGGGAGGTCCCTGGGTCTCCTCCTGGGGCTGGGGATGCGCCGCTGCCCGCGTGCCCGGTGACGACACAGACCCGGCCCCTGGATCTTCCTTTGGGGCTGGGGATACACCACTGCTCGGGCACTGGATCACGTGCCCCGGCAGCAACACAGCCCCGGACCCTGGGTCTTCTTTTGGGGCTGGGGATGCGCCACTGTTCAGGCACAGAATTGCGCCGCCCCTGTACCGGATTGCGTGCCCGGGCCCCTGGGTCTCCTTCTGGGGCCTGACCGCGTCCCCAGGCAGGGGTGCAGCCTGGCCTCTGGCCCCGCCTCTGGGTGTTCTCCGATCACTGGTGATCTGTGATCTGAGAAACCCGTGGGGCAGGGAAGAGACGGACATCCCCTCTTCCCAGCCCCACCGGACCTCTCCGATTACTGGCCCAAGGCCAGCAAAGGTGGCCTGGCTTCTCGGATCACAATGGTGGCCCAGTTCTCCGGCTCTTGGCTGCCACCTGGGTTCCGAGACCGGCAGGCAGCTTCTTCCATCCTTCCCTTTTCGCCTCCCATCATTGTGTCTATGTATGCAAATTAACCGTCATCTTGGCTGGTGATTAATTTGCATATCTTGATGATTAGCCAATGGGAAGGGTAGCAGATGTATGGCTAATTACCATGTTTCTCTTTTATTAGATAGGATTGTTTCATATACTTACATTAGAGGAAATATCATTTATACGGTATATCTAATTACTTTTACCAGTGTTCTTTGTTTTCTTGTATGTATGTGTAGTTGAATTTTTATTTTGGTTTACTTGCTTTCAATTCTAAGAATTTCCTTTAGTATTTCTTTAAGGTGCTTTGCTAGCAACAAATTCTCTCAGTTTTTGCTTAATGGGAGTATTTTTTTTTTTAATATATTTCACTGATTTTTCACAGAGAGGAAGGGAAATACAGAGTCAGAAATATCTATGAGAGAGGTACATCGATCAGCTGCCTCCTTCACACCTCCCACTGGGGATGTGCCCACAACCAAGGTACATGCCCTTGACCAGAATCGAACCTGGGACACGCCCCCCCCCCAATACACAGGCCGATGCTCTATCCACTGAGCCAAACCAGTCAGGGTAATGGGAGTATTTTTATTCACCTTTGTTTTTAAAAGACAGTTTTGCTGAATATAATATTCTTGGTTGACAGTTTTTTTTTCAGCACTTTGAATATGTCATCTCACAGCCTTCTGGCCTTCATTGTTTCTGATGAGAACTTATGTTGTGGGGTTTCCTTGTAGATGCTGAGTAATTTTCTCGCTGCTCTCAAGATTTTCTCTTTCAGTATTTTTACTATGGTATGTCTAGGTATAGAGATCTTTTCATTTATTCTACTTGGAGTTTGTTGAGCTTGGATGTGTAGATTAATGTTTTTCAGCAAATTTCGGTAGATAATATATTTTTAAAATGCATACCTTTCAACCTGAAACTTTATACCCTTTAAGTAAATACTAAATCCCCATGCCTTCTTTGTTTCAGCCCCTGGCAGCCACCATTCTACTCTCTGTCTCTATGAATTTTACTACTTGTTATAGCATATAAGTAGAATTTTATAATATTTGTCTTTTTCGTATGGCTTATTTTGCTTTGCATAATGTTTTCAAGGTTTATCCACGTTTTACTTTATGACAAAATTTTCCAGAATTTGAATATTCTTAGGTATTGAAATCAGGTATTCCTAATTCTTAGGTGTTAAAACTTTTTTTTCTTCCTCACATCTTTTATTTTTACTTAACTTTTATGCTGTCTATTTTTGAATTACTATCTACCTAGTTTTACATGTTGTTTAATTAGTAAATAATAATCTAAATTAGGAAGTAAAACAAAATAGACTGCTTTACCTTTAAGAAGGTTGATAGATAGAGCATCAGCCTGTACACTGATGGTTTGATTCCCAAGTACTTGGGTTTCCGGTTCAAAATCTGGCCCTGTTTGGGTTCATGTGGGAGGCCACCAGTCAATGTCTCTCTCTCACATTGATGTTTCTCTCTCTCCCCCTTCCCCTGCCTATCTCCCTTTTCCCCTCTCACTCTCTTTAAAAATCATTAGAAAAAATATCTTGGGTGAGAATTAACCAAAAAATAGAAAAGATTGACGGTGGTATGCTATGCTGCTTATGGAATAACTAATACATAAGTTATATTGTTTTAGAATATTTAATTTGGGGGTCTTTTGTTTTACAAAAAGTAAATTATAACATACTTCTCATTTGATTGTGATCTTGTGGAATTGGTGGTTCCCAATTTTTATTTTAAATTTCCTTTTTGCATATTTGATGGATTCTGATATATTTCTGTCAGTAAACAAGGATCATTTCTATAGTGATTCCCCAGAGGGAGGTCATGACTACCCTTCCAATGAGTTAAATATACCCAGCTACCCCAAAGTCGTCACTGGTTAGTGTGTTTTAACTACATGTGGCATAAACATTTTTGTTCTTTGTCAAGTGCTTGTGAAATTGTGCCATGTAACTTTTTTTTTTTTTTTTGTCTAAACGCAATTATGATATTCAAAGCATCTTTTGCTCATGACCATGGCCTATCCACTTTAACTTAGAGCTGTTATTTTGATGATAGCTGTTTTTATTTATCTTGGAGTTGTTGCTGAATTGTGGCCTCACTTTGGACAGGCACTGAATAAATATTGAAACTGCTATCATTCTGTGTTAAATCTCTTTGTTTCTTGGAAGGTATTTTGTGACTTTGAGGTACTTGTTATATTTTACCTCCATCTAAGGTTTTTAATAAATCAAAATTTTTAATATATGATATCAGTGGAATAAAATAAGCTCTATCAGTAAGTTAATCTTATGGCTATCTTTTATTTTCTTAAACAGAGACTCTACAGGAGCAGGTAATTCACTGGTCCACAAGCGGTCTCCTTTACGTCGAAACCAAAAGACCCCAACATCCTTGACCAAGCTGTCTTTACAGGATGGATATAAAGTCAAAAAGCCAGCATGTAAATTTGAAGAGGGTCAGGATGTCCTAGCTAGATGGTCAGATGGCTTGTTTTATCTTGGAACTATCAAAAAGGCAAGTTACCTTAATATAAGATATCTTTTGCAGTTTTTGCAGTAAACGTTTAATAATTTTGAATTTAAATTTAACCCTGTTTTTTATTTTAAAAGAAGTCACCAGTATTCCTCTGTATTTCAGATAAACATATTGAAACAGAGCTGCTTCATCATTTTTGAAGACAGTTCTAAATCCTGGGTTCTCTGGAAGGACATCCAAACAGGCAGGTGCTACTGTTTCTCTTGAACATGATTTATACTAAAATTTGATATTTTCCAACTTGTCATTTTTGAGTGTTCAGTAGTGTATTAAAATATCTCAGAATCACTTTTAAGGATAGGCTAAAAAAATCTATCTTTGTAGTCTTCGGGAAGTTATAAATTATATCAGTGATTTTCAATCTTTTTCATCTCCTGACACACATAAGCTAATTACTAAAATTCTGAAGCACATCAAAAAATACATATTTTGCCAGTCTGATAAAAAAAAAAAAGGAAGGTATAATTTTTATTCATTCATACCGGACAGATACTGTTGTATTGGCTGTTGTCATTTTTTTATTTGACAATCTAAGGGAAAAGAGGTCAGTGCCCCTGACTAAATAGTTAGGTATTGCACATTTAAAAAATTCTTGCAGCACTCTGGTTGCAAATTGCTGATCTATATTAAAAACTGCAAAAAAAAAAAGAATCACTCTGTTAGGGTAGAGGGAGACTACTAACTACTAGAAGACAGGTGTGTCACTATTGTTAGGACCCTTCTAAGAACTTAGAAGAAACAGTTTGGGCTTCATTTTAACTGTTACTTGCTTATATTAGTACAAAGTACTATAAAGAGCTAATAGGTATTGAGGACATATTTTTTGTCAGATGCTTGGGGGAATTAGAACATAATAAAAGTCTGAGTACTAGAAATATTCATTAATAAAAATGGTTTAAAATGATCAATTATTTTTTAATGTTTATATGGGAAAATAAGTACAGGTACACCTTGGTTTGGTTGTAGGTACATTTTTTATACTTTCTATTTTTACAAACTATAATTGCTGTGTGTTATTTGAATCTGCTAAGTAAAGGTGTTTTTCTAGGTATCTCTTTCATGGTAGGTGCTTTATTTATTTTTAGAAAAAGTATTATTATTAAAATCTGAGTACTTTACACACTAATGCAACACTTTTTTAAAAATGTAAATTTTGCCCTAGCTGGTTTGGCTCATTGGATAGAGCATTGGCCTGGGGACAGAAGGGTCTCAAGTTCAATTTCAGTCAAGGGTGGGTACCTAGGTTGCAGATGCCTTCCCAGACTGGGCCCTGGTTGGGGCGGTGCAGGAGGCAGCCAATCGACGCGTTTCTCTCACATCGATATTTCTCTTACCCTCCCTCTTCCACTCTCTCTAAAAATCAATGGAAAAATATCTGTGGGTGAGGATTTTTAAAAAATGTAACAGTTTTTATTATTGTTGTTGTTATTTATTTTAGAGAGAGAGGAAGGGAGAGAGAAACATCCACTAGTTGCCTTCCGTACATGCTCTGAAGGGGAATCAAACGCACCACCTTCTGGTATATGGGACAGACGTTCCGACTGATTGAACCATAACAGCCAGGGCTAAAGCAGCACTTTTGGTTTTGCTTTTACTAGGTCAATAGGCCTGCACAAAGACCTCTGTTTTCTATTTCTTGTTTTAGAAAGGAGATATAAATTCTCTTTCGCTGAGGGATAGGTGGATACCTTTCTAAAATATTTAGCGATTGGGTTTTGTATTGGATTCCCAACTGCAACTTTATGATAGGTTACTGCGTGTTGTATGTTTTGAATCTGGAATTGGTGGGTCAGTGAGAAAAGTGCTAGGAGGATAGATGTCTTCAACAGTAGTGATATTGAGCAGATCTCATTACCTGCATTAGGAATTTCTCTTTTTTAGTTTGTAAATGTGACTCTGTCTTTGGTGGATCTGAAACACATATACTGCCTCTATTCCCTTCTATTAGCTATATATCCCTTTCAACTTTCCTACCTTTTCAAGGTTCCTGTGAGTTAAAATACAGGTTTCTCAGTCTTTTGTCTCTTCCCTCCCTCCATTCCTTCTTTCCGAAGACCAGTGGTACATAGGGATAGAAAGTTGTAATGAAAGTGAGGGTCCTATCCAACATGTACCCCACCAGTGCGTCAGTTTAGTAGTCTGTGGTGGTTCTTTCCTCACTGGCTGCTTTTACTAGCCTTAGAATTACCAAGGATTACTCTTTGGCCATTAACTTTCTAATATCTAGAAAGTACCACACACATAACTTGGAGTTTGTATAAAATGAGAAAGTGAACCTGAAAATTGCATTATGACAGATTTCAGTGTGGAGAGTAGCTTTAGTAATTTTCTTTCTATAATAACAGGTATTAGCAAAATAATAAATTAGCATAATTTCACTCATGTAATAAGATTCCTTTGAACAGTTTACATAAATAAGGAAGAATATATAGTTATGTTAGTAATCAAAGAAATGTGCATTACAACAGGGAGATAACATGTTAAAACCATTAAATGAATTTAAAAGGATTTTTAATCTTAACACCTAAATACCATTATGGTTTCTGGGAAAATGATACACTGCTGATGCAGTGTAAATTTCTATTTTGGATATTTAAACAGCAGCATTAAATGCATAAAAATGTTTTATACTCTTTAATTTATACAGCAGACTCATTTTAGCAGTTTATTCTAAATAATTCAAAATTTAAAAAATTAGATAAAAAATATTTACTGTAGCTTTATTTTAATAATAACAAAAAATGTGAGACATCGAAGATGAAATGGCTTGAATTAGCACTGGCTTTTCTGAGGAACTGCCTTCCCCTACACCAGTCCACCTGGTTGCAGTGGGAGTCAGATTAACCACCTACCCCAGTCTAGGACTATTGCTTCTGTTCGAGGGAATTACAGATTTGGACAGAGAGGTTCCAGGCCAGTCTGGTTGCTCTCCTTATTCTAATCTAGCCAAAAATCAGAAGATTTGGGGAGGCCAGCTTTAGTCAACTGTGCAGAGAAGAAGACAAACCCTGGGAAAGCAGGAGGGTAGAGAGGACAAGACACTGAAACAGACAAGGAAAAAATGCAAAAAAATGAACAAACAAGAAATTTGGTAACCTGTCTGTGTAAGAATAGAGGGTGTAATAAAGTAACTTTGGTTCTTTCCCTGGATGGAATATTATGTAGTTACTAGAGGCCCAGTGCATGAAATTTGTGCACAGGAGGGGGGGGCGTGTCCCTCAGCCTGGCCTGCACCCTCTCCAATCTGGGACCCCTCGGGGGATGTCCCTCTCGTAATCCAGGACATTGGCCCCTAACCGCTTACCTGCCTGCCTGCCTGATGCCCCTAACTGCTCCCCTGCCTGTGTGATTTCCCCTAACTGCCTCTGCTTTGGCCCCTGCCACCATGGCTTTGTTCGGAAGGACATCCGGAGGGTCTCCTGGAAAGTCTCCCAGTCTAATTAGCATATTACTCTTTTATTAGAAATAGATTGTATTGTGCATTTAGCCTGATTGCCCCTAACTGCTCTCCCCTGCTGGCCTGATCACCCCTACCTGCTCTCCCCTGCTGGCCTGATCGTCCCTAACCGCCTGTGCCTTGGCCCCCACCACCATGGCTTTGTCCAGAAGACGTCCAGTCTAATTAGCATATTACCCTTCTATTAGTATAAATTTGAGTTATCATTTTGAAAACTGCGGCGTAAAAAAATGCTTTTTAAAAAATGTATTTTTATTGATTTCAGAGAGGAAGGGAGAGGGATAGAGAAATAGAAGCATCAATGATGAGAGAGTCATTGATTGGCTGCCTCCTGCATGCCCCCAACTGGGGATCGAGCCCGCAACCTGGGCATGGGCCCTTGACCAGAATCAAACCTGGGACCCTTCAGTCCACAGGCCGACTATCTACTGAGCCAAACCAGCTAGGGCTAAAAAATGCTTTTGATAGAAGGAATATTAAATAGTATTAATGAAAAGAAGCATCTCACAGTGTAGAGTATGGACTCTAGTATATCTAGGTTTGAATCCTAGCCTTGATACTTTCTGACTGAAGGTCCTTGGATTAGTTACTTTATCTTTCTGAACCTCACATCTTCTCTTTAGAGAGGATATTTATCTAAAAGTTGTAGAATTAAGTAAAATAGTATATGTCAGGAGCCTAACAATGCTTGGGTCAGAGCACAAAATTGAAATTTTTTTATTGTTGCTATGTGAATAAAGCATGTATATTAATATTTTAACTATGTATATTTAAATGGATGAATAGAGAATATTGGAAATGTGTTAGAGTGATAAAATCATATTTTAAAATTTATAGAATAGAAGTGTTTTAGAATAAAAATGTTTAAGAAAGAAATAATTTATCTATTCAGGTAAAAAGTAAAATTATTAACTATGGAACCCCCAGATTTTATTGCAGTGGGATTTTGTTAGGGTATATTATTGGCACCAACCATATTTCCGTATTTCAGAAGCTGAAAATTAAATAATTGGTGTTCAGCCTCTTTCATAAATTAGTAAATAAAAAGAAATGTTCCAAACCCAGAGGAAAAGGAGTCATTGATACATCTCCCTTGCGCTTTTTCTTTATTCTCATGATGTTAGGCAGTGTAGGGTGAGTGAACACATGGATATACATGGGTGGGTATGTGTTTTGGAGAGTAGTTCTAGTGTTGACAAAAACAACCTCCCAGAAGAATGGGAATATTAAAAATGAATGATAAAGGATTCTGCCTGAGAGCAGTTTAAATTATGTCCTCTGCCAAAAAGCAGGTTAAGTTATGAATGTAGACAGTTAGAAATCAGTTAGAGGTCAGAACATAGAAAGGGAGCAGAGAGATAGCATTTTGTGTATAGTACTTTGGCTTAAAAAGAAATCATTATGATCTAGTGAACAAACATTGCCAATATAGGCTCTTCACTGAGTCAAAAAGTAGTTTTGTTAAATGGAACACTTTATTATTATAAATAAATAATAAAATTATTTAAATATTTCAGGAGCCACTGGAAGTGGGGAAATGGTCTGTACAATATGTCAGGAAGAGTATTCAGAAGCTCCCAATGAAATGGTTATATGTGATAAGTGTGGCCAAGGTAAACATTGATTTCTTTTAATCTTGTGGAAAAGTTTGTGAAGATTAATGATTAAAAATTTACTTTACAATGTTAATTTGAAGCTGTTATGATAAATTTACTCATCAGTTGTAATTATATTAATGTAGGAAAAGAAAATACTAATGCATTTAAATTGTATTCATTAATAAAATAGAATTTGCTTTATGCTTTTTTTGATATTAAGGTTATCATCAGTTGTGTCACACACCTCACATTGATTCCAGTGTGATTGATTCAGATGAAAAATGGCTCTGTCGACAGTGTGTTTTTGCAACAACAACAAAGGTATCTTTTAAGTGTTTTGGGCTAAAGCCCTAAGTGGAATTTATAAGGCATTATCAACATAGTGATTCTGTACATTGAAAGTTTATTTGAATGAAATGAGCAGTCAATGCTGAGTAGAAAGAGGTGCTGGTTATTGTTTGGCTAATGATGCTTAAGTGACTTGCAGCTATTTTTGCACTTATTTTCTGATTGTGGTCTTGGAATTGGGGCAATAATTTGAAAGAAAAGCTAATAGGAAAGATTATTAGGCAATTTTGTGATATGCTAAGAAATTTAGAATGGAAATGCCTTCAGAAGTTTCAGAAGCATTTTTAAGTTATAGAATTGTATTTAAAATTTTATCTTTCACTCTTTTAAATAATCTTTTCCCTCTAATATAGAGGGGTGGTGCGCTTAAGAAAGGACCAAATGCCAAAGCATTGCAAGTCATGAAGCAGACATTACCCTATAGCGTGGCAGACCTTGAATGGGATGCAGGTCATAAAACCAATGTCCAGCAATGTTACTGCTATTGTGGAGGCCCTGGAGAGTAAGTAAATATAGTTATTTAATACCCTTTAAGTAGTTTTTATTTTTTCAACTTTATTTTTGTTACTGATTTTGGTGTTGGAGTAATAGTGAATTGTAAATTTATGGAAGTATCAGTAAAGAAAATTGAGGGAGGGGAATTAGAGGCTGTAGTTTTATTCATCTTTTTAATTAAATATTTGCTAAAGAAATGAATCAGTTCTAACTAAGAATGTTTAGGAATTTATCCTTAACTTCTGATCAGTGGTCCTAGTTCTGCTCTTTGGAACTAAACAAATACTCTTTTCTCTCTGAGGAGGTAATTCTTAAAATATTTCAATCCAGCAATCACATTTCTTACTCCCATTACGTACATACTAATAATGTTCTCTTTTCCAGGCTAAAATCTCCATTGCCATAAAATAATCTTTATGACATGACTTCCAAACGGCATTTCTTGCTCATAGTTTTTAAAATTTACTCTTGAAATGCGGTGTTATGATTAGAAAATTCACTGTTTCCAAGAATAGTCTTACAGAAAATAATGGGACTATTAGAGTTTTGGACATTATACTTCTGTAATTGCAAAGAGAGATTGTATTACCTTTCTTTAGTCATCCCATCTTATTCTTTTGATTTAACTATTTAAATTATAATTATTTTTTGTGTGTCTTATGAGACTCTGCTTCTCTTAAGATGATGCTGTCTAGGAGAAGACTGGAACATATAGGTAATTGATGATGAATAAATAAACATATAAATTAGTGAAATTTTAGTTCTGTATTCTGCCTCATCTCTGATCTTAGGGACTTTTTGTGATTTAACATTTTTATAATACTTCTTAGTTTTTGGTCACCTGCAAATTTAAGAAACTAGTTTTTAGAAATTACTTTTAAAATAGATACAGTGAACTCATTTATAGCTAGCATTTAGTTTAAAGCATTATTCAAAGTAGGTGGAAAGTATTATAGACATTATTTTGGGAGATAGATCATTCATTGTTCTGTACCATGATTACATGAGCTGATATTGCTAACAACTCTAACTTCAGCACCTAGCAGAGTAGTTATTTGAACACAAGCACTGGAACATGGTTTATTTATTAGTCTTTGTTGAATGACTGACCTTACTTAGTATCAGTCTTCTTACCTTTGTGTATTAATAGCTTAAAATTTATGTGGGGCTGACTAGTTGAGCAACAGAATTATTAGGAAGAACACATTATTTGGGTGGCAAATAAGGATATCAGTATATCAAAAACATGTAGAAACTGAAAAGAAAGGATAA